GGCGAAACACTGCAGACTGACAAGTTTGCTTTGACACCTGAATTTTGGAATATATTTATTCGCAACTCTCAACAGTGCTATGTGCCAGCGCAGAACCTCACCATCGACGAGCAATCATTTCCCACCAAAACCCGCTGTCAATTCTCCTCAGTACATGGATAGCAGACCTGATAAGTTCGGTATCGAGTTTTACACTCTGACAGAAGTAAACAGCAAATATTTCTTGAATGGATTTTCATAGCCTGGAAGAAGAAATCTCGGCCCACAAGAAGAAAGTATTCCAGAGAGCGTGGTATTGAGCCTCATGTCACGCTTCTTTGGATAAGGCCATAAGGTCACATGTGACAACTTCTCCACATCTGTGATGCGGCCATTCTGACCGGTCTCGGGTGTTATAGGGAGGTCGGCGGAACAGTTTTAGTGTTTGGGAAATCACGTTCATTCATCAATCTCTCAAAATGGCCCTTAACACCAGTAAATTGCACCTAACGGTAGCGAAGACACCTAAATACTACTGTTCATTGCGTGACCGATCCCAAACCAGCCGATGGCATCTCACTTTGTGTGCTCATCAGATATATACTATCGGCTTTCGGAACGGTTGCACTCGGTGAGTGTATTTGACAGCGTTAAGAACCATGTTGAGAAATCTATGAAGGAATATGATATCCCTAAGGAGGAATTTGAAAGCGCTATGGATGCGATTGGACATAAGTTTGCAATTCATCTAATATAGCGTTGCAATTTGAGCGAGATAACGCATAATTAAGAAAAGGACAATGATAAGCGTAGCTCGAGCTGGACAACATACATGCTGGATGGAAACGATAAGCAGTGAGGTAGGTTGAATGTAAGTGGCACCATGGCACCTGTGACCAGAATACACTTGAACTTGAATCTAGCTGGTTGAACCAAATACAGCCGTTTCGCCACCGATGAAGATGACATTCATTAGTGTGTAGCGGTAGTAGTAGCCTCGCGGGAATCGGAAGCGTAAAACAAAAAAACAGATTGAAACGAAGGTTCGTGTCACCGGAGTCCGCAACGTCATCAGCTTCCGGAATGTGGACCGTTAGATGCCCCAACGGTTGATTTGCCGCAGTGCATCGTAAGCAGTAAGGAAGACCAGTTAGCGAAGCTTAGCTAGGCATAATACACAACGAAGCGACAGACTGTGGTGCTATGAGGGTCGGATCGAGTGTTTAGATAAGGGGCATGAAACATCGCTAACCATGCCATGGGAATATAAAAGCTCAACTAATTAAAGTAGCGCTGAATATTCAGAGGCGAATCAACAATTTGCAAAAGGGCGGGGAAAATGGAAGTAAGTACAGGCGATTCTCGAATGTCAGAGAAGAAATAGTAAACAAATAACGCATAGAAAGTATTTAGTCCCAGATCCCCTAAGATGTCGGGATCAAGTGACCAAGAGTAATTCACAAAAAATATTTATGAGGTGGAAATGTGAAGGAACAAAAGTACAAGCTATTGTCTCAAAGTGTAGGAAAAATGCAGTCGGTCATCCTAAGAAAAATGAACACATAAGCCACCACGAAATGGAGGGTTATGTACAAAAATGGTCACCAAATAAGGAAATTGCGCCACACTGCGTGTAATTATTAGAGTGCAAGTAAAAAGCATCCAGTGGGTAAAAGATTGAAAACAACTGGTCCAGAAACTACCATCACCACAAAGGTATAATGTTCCCGAAAATTATTCAGAATCAGATCATGTACCGATGCCAAAACGCATCTCTGGAACGTTGACTTTTAGCACACAAGAGTAATTAAGATGGATATCGAAAAATGGACAATAAGGAAACAGCGTCCACAGAGGCGTAGGTCAAATATTAATCGCTGAATATGAGTGAAAACGATACAAAAATAAGGTACGTCGAGAGAGAAGAGTAGAGTACAGGTTCAAGAATTAAATAGTTAGATGAAGTTGAAACAATTATGTGGGTGAGTGGAACGAGAACAAGCCGAAGTAGTTCACCAACAACGATGTATGTGTTAAGTGGCAATGGCGGAGGTAACGATCGGCGCAGAGGTGGAAGCAACAATTCCGAGAGTGGGCGAAACACACGTGATAGTTGGCCCGATTTGAAGATCAAGGTTGTTACATGCGTCATTATCAATGTGAACAGAGAGTGCAGTTTGAGAGGACTCGTTATCTGTCATTGAATGGTCCAGATATTGACCATCAGCGCTCATGGACGAGACCAGAGGGGCGATAGTCTGAAAAGAAACAACATGAAACATCTTTGGTTAACATACAACCCACTGATAATGGTAGTGCGATGTAGCATCAGGAAAAAACTTTACGCGAGAACATGTCGAGAACAAACGGCGAATCGCGAAAACATCCTGTTTGTGTTACGTCAAAGATGGAACCGAAACAGAACCCTCATGCTGCGTAAGGTAATCTCGACGAAGCCAGTCCTCAAAGTGTTAAACTCGAAGGCATCAGAATGAACAGGATTAAGGATATTGCTGATTCTAACACATAGCGGGCGCCATCGAGGACAAAAAGCAATGCACAGACTGAAGCAAAGCAAGCACGACTGTGACTAGGGGAAGGCAAATATGAGAGCTTAAACGGAAAGAAACTAAACACAATAAACAGTTCTATGGTTTGAGGAGTCCCGTGCATCAACTAGAAAAAGACGATAAGATGATTATTGTAAGTTGGTACCGGTTCATTCCATCTTGGGAACATATTATTCGTCCGTGTAACAGAGAAAAACGTTTTGAACTCGGCCGGGAGGGAAGAAAAGTAGACACAAATCAACAAGCTGGGGACAAACGTCGCGAATAGTAAAGATTCTTCAGAGTGAGGACTAGCTGATTCTGCGCGCAAGGAGCAATCTATCACCGGTTAAAGGTCACGCGCTCAGAAAACACAAGCATTGTGGTGCTTTCATTTCGATAGACGACCACTGATGTCGAGACTGAGTTAACTTGATTACCTGCCAGGAGTAAGTGTTAACAGATGGATGAGGCTAGTAACTTGCCATCGTAGCAATCCGATTTGGAATATGACCTCCAATCCGCTGACTCAAACAGCGAGCGGATCTGCCAATGTAAACACTTTTGCAGTCACAAACGAGTTGGCGAACGTAGTGAGCTGGGGAGACCGACTGAGTAGCCTAGACAGACGTCAGCAGTTTTCTGATCACTAATGAGAAGGAGGATTTTCGGTAAAATGTTCTGATTTGACCGTTGCTCACAAACCAGATAGTCAAAACCCCAATCCGGAAAAGCACCAGACGATCGTTCCGACTTATTGGGGGTCATCAGTGGTGCGCATTTCATCGGCCCCCCGGTGGGTAGTGAAACCTTGACCGTTAGCAGCATGTGCCACGGAGCCATGGGGGAAGGAGGCAGACCGTCATAAGCAACAGGCTAACTGGGATATGGTGCAACCTGTCCTTCACTGTCATGCAGGTTCCTCCCATTTCAGAGGCCAATGGCTAGCCTTCAGAGGTCACACTTTCCACTAGACAGCAGCTACATACGCATAGCCTTTGAAGACTGAGGGTGTATGTTTGATTACTAGTGAGTAGGCGGTTGTCACCGCTGACGAGCCCCCAAAGGGCGAGACGATCGTCTGGTGCTCCTCCAGACTGGTAGTTAAATCAGCTGGCTTGGGAAGAAATGGGACAATTTAGTAAAGTTTTCTGAACGTCGAAAGAAGACAGAGCTTGTGTATACGATGAAGTGCTGTGGTCGGCCATCGTTCAAATTGCGATGCCACATAACCTTTGAGTAGTTGTAGTAGTAGTGCAGTAGGTACACGGGCACTTTTGCACAACAAGGACTCAGCTTATCGTTTGCCACTAGCTAAATACGAAGTCTAACATCATCATCAGTACACGTTAGCTGAGGGTGAGAAACACACCTCAGCTAATGTGCCACAATACGAAAAGATAAGAGACTAAAAATTACACTACAAAAATATGATAAATATTAAATTATGCGTTTTGCATGAGATCGGGATTGGAGAGGGAACTTAAAGGGAGGGAGCGTTAGCGCAGGGGCGGATTCCTGCCCATCTTGGAGAAGTACTTTGCATTTAGATGGATCAAAGCATATCCCAAAACGATTAATAACCAGTGCTAATCGGTCCAGTGTTGCTTGGTATGTTTAGGTCACAGATTAGGGTAATATCGTCCGCGTACTCCAAGCCAAGAAGTCGCCCACCAGAACGTAACTCCACACCTAGGTCGTGTCCAGCAAACGCTGTTTCAATGACTTCATCAGTAGCGAAGTTAAAAAGGAAAGGTGGCAGCGGGCAACCTTATCTCACACGCTGGTGATACTGAAGGGTGGCGACAGTTTGCCATAAACCCTCACCCTGCCCGAACTATGCGCGTACGGTGCTTTGATAATGTTTACGTATTTATCTGGCACACCTTCCCTCAGCAGTCAGTCCCAAATGGCACATCGATCGACTGAATCGTAGGCACCTTTTATGTCAAGAAACACGACGACGGTGGGTCGCCAATGACCATGGCGGTGCTTCAACAATTGACGCAAGGTGAAAATGTGGTCGATGCAGCCCACACCCGCAGTTTTGTAATGAAAAACAATTCCGACTTAAGGATATGCGGGTGTTCTCCGAGCTGGCTGATTTGGTTGCAAACGTTTCATCGTCAGACTAGACGACATCATCAGTGCGATTTATATGGGCCACTTGCAGATCCAAGTGATTATTGATCACTTGATTCGAACGTCAGGAGTCGATTGGTCCACGTGAACTGACCGTGCAGTCAGCTCTCCCGTACTGTTGGCTAGAGTCCGCCTCAATGATGATCCTTCGTCCAGTTGATTTGGGGCGGACTATTCTTTTGACCCTCAGTGTCTCATAGGCAGTGTCTAGATCTAAGTGCCTGTTGATTGAGTTCTCTCCCGAGTACCTTGCCTCGATGAACTCGCGTGCTTTTCGACTTTTTGCTCTGCCTATGATCCTGACATTCTCCAAATCAAATTGATGATTCTCGGCGTCTATATGTACCGACATCAGAGAGTTCTGATCATGTCGGCGGATGGCTAGGCAATGCTCACGTAGCCTAGTGCCGAACAGATCATCTGTTCGAAATGTTTGCACGGAATGGGTATTCTAGAAATTTCATTCTACGTTGTTTAACACCAATACAACGACCGACACAAGAACAAACATCAGAAACGGATAAAAGGACAATTACTCTACCATACATCAACGGCACCTCTGAGATGGCGGCGAGACTCCTACGACAAGTGGTGTGATTTACAAAATCCACTGCAAAAATTGTAACAAATACTATGTGGGCCAGACAGGAAGAAAGCTCGGCACTAGGCTACATGAGCATTGCCTAGCCATCCGCCGACATGATCAGAACTCCCTGATGTCGGTACATTTGGATGCCGAGAATCATCAGTTTGATTTGGAGAATGTCAGGATCATAGGCAGGGCAAAAACTCGAAAAGCACGCGAGTTCATCGAGGCTTGGTACTCGGGAAAGAACTCAATCAACCGACACTTAGACCTTGATACTGCCTATGAAGCACTGAGGGTTAAAACAATACTCCGCCCCAGATCAGAGACAAAGGAACATCATTGAGGCGGACTTTAGCTAATAGCACGCAAGAGTTGACTACACGGTCAGCTCACGTGGACCAATAGACTCCTGACGTTCGAATCAAGTGATCAATAATCACTTGGATCTGCAAGTGGCTCGCATAAATCGCACTGATGATGTCGTCTAGCCTGACGATGAAACGTTTGCAACCAAATCAGCCAGCTCGGAGAACACCCGCATACCCTCATCCGCATCCCCAGCCACAAATATTCTCACGGATTTCTAATTCCGACTTAAGTCATGAACAATGGGGATTTAGGCGTAATTTAGATGGCAGTCACCTATCAGCCAAGCGGACTCCCACACGTCTGGAAAAGCACCAGACGGCCGTTTCAAAAGCCTGGGTCCCGTCAATGGTGCGCATTCCGGGTTCCAACTCCATGACTTCTGGATGCCAGCAGCTTCCAAGTGTGGTGTGGTACATAGTCGCTATGCGGAAATTCGTAGCTTTTGGGCCAACCATTGTCTTCCGCACGGTTCGTAACTGGCATGACAGTGGAAGATGAGCCACGCTATATCGTAGGCAACTGTCGGTCATGCAGGTCTGACACGGTTATCCACGGCTTAGTGGCAGTGATGAGAGGTAAAAGGTCAAAACGGATGTCTGGTGCTTTTACAGACATGTGGGAGCCCAAGTGACCGAGAGGCGATCGTGACGAACTACATCCAGATTCTGACTTTACAGTCAGCAATGAGAGTGATTAAACTGTGTCATGAAGAGGCAACACTTACATTAGACAGATTTAGAAATGTAGGGGCTCCTGCACAGTCCGAAGCGCGTAGCATTTCCGTAAACAGAACGATGCATCGAGTCATATACTAGTCTGAGGAGTAATACATCCAGAAGAACCAGATAATTGGTGCCATCCAGTTCTGAAGATGGCTAAGACCGTGGATGATGCAAATACCCTTTACTGGAGACTTAGCGATGGCAACGGACCGGTAAGACCCGAAAGGATTACAGTGAGATATCTGAATACCGCCCTGCGGACGAACAATACTATCAATACCGGATACAAAATTAAACACAGATTGGAATCAGCGAGCGCATTTTCAGACAGGTTTATTCAACACAGGTATACAAAGCAAATGGAGTCATTCAGTCGGAAAGCGGTAGACGAAAAACTGGCGTAGAATCATGATAAACAATAATTTTTGGAAGGTGAAGTGGAGTCGGGCACTATTGATTTATAAATGGCCTTGCCACATTGCACGAAGAGTTCAAAGGGACAGAGGAATAAGTCTGGTGACAGCGTCTAAAGTGGTTCAACTACGTGTATCAAAGTGCGAGACAAGTACTGAGTAACGAATTCTTATCAGGAAGAGGCCCACGAGACGTGCAGACAGTAAGGATTACATGCTAAATGTACCAAGTTTGGCTGAATAGTGATTGGGAGGTTAAGTTCAACGGCCGGATCGACAAAGCACACTCTCTGAAGACAATGAGTATAATGGGAAGATATCTAGGTACCTCATTTTCACAAGCAAGCAAAGGCTAGCTAGGATACCAAAAAATGATTACGTAACAATAACTGCAGGCCATAGTAGAAATACAGGATATACAAACTGCTTTTATACACATAGCACAGGCTTGAGGTGATGAAGATAGATAATTTC